CTTACAGCAGCTCTTAGAGTTGCAACTGGATAACTTATGCCGATCACTTAAGCAATTGAAACAGAGGTTGTTTTTGGCCACCACATCGTTTCTTTGGGAGGCTTCAAGCCGTAAAAAGGAATCACAAGTGTAAACAGGATGATTTTGCTTACATAAAATACAATGAGACATAGAATTGTTACATTTCACAAACAAGCTTTTCGGTTTAACTCTATCTTGACTACACCTTGGTTTCACGAACGTGGTCTTATTAATGTTTTCTAAAATCTGAGAACGCTTTTCCAAAAATGAAATCAAATTATCTAGTTTAGGAACGTCATTCGAACTGATACTGAACTCATACTGTTTTAGAGTCTCCTTATCCAGCTTCTGAAGTACGATATTTAAAATTAAGATATCAGAAAGCTCATTCCTTTCATATCCTAGGACTTTTAGTGCTCGCATATTTCTATTGATGCTATCAATTAAACTCCTCAAACCCCTTGCTGACTCATAAGGTAATTTTACAGAGTCCAGAATCGCATTAACATGGGTTTCTACTATTAATTTCTTATTTTCGTACCTTTCTTGTAGCGCTTGAAACAATGAAGCAAACGAATCGTTTAACGTTTCTAAACTCTTAGCTTCCCCTACGAGAGCAGCCTTCAAATAATGTAGTTTTTGTTCTGCCGACAGTTGCTCGTTTGACGAAATGATATTATCAAATTGCATTTTAAAGTTACTCCATTCTTCATATTTTCCAGAGAATTTCGGTAGAGGAATCTCCGGCAACTTAATATTAGCGGAATTATTTCGAACTACGGGGCCCTGAGTCACCGTGACCACGGACGAATCTGCTTCTAATCGTTTAATACGAGACTGGATCTTAAATTTACAACTTATAATTTTGTCCTCATATTCTTCACTATTGACTATCTCAGTGTCATAATCAGTTGGGCTAGTAATGAAACCCTCAATCTCCCCGTTTAAGGTTCTCAATGACTCTTCCTTTCGACTCAACTGATCCAGTATTTCTAGATGAGTTTCTGTCTCTCTATCGTCGCTTTCAATTAAACTATCGATTTTACTAATTAATTTCGTCACACTAGCTCTTATCGAAGCGCGCTTTTTCTTTAATTTCTCGAGTTGATCCATTTTAAACTGTCTACCACGTATAACGGACAGGTAAATTCCTCCTACCTTGGATAGGTGACTTAATGAAGTTTGACCCAATCTTATTTGCTTGCGAAGTTGTCTCTCTTTTCTTCTTGATCCGCCTCGACGGACCAGATGTTTGTCGATCTTTAATGGACTGTAAAAATATGAAAGTACTGCGGTTTTGCAAAAAATAACGTTTAATGCGGAATGAAACACTGGTACAAAATGGCTGCTACAAATGACCGTTACAGAACTACTCTCGTTCACAAATTTAAAAAAAAAAATTTTTTTTTCCTTTTTTTTTATGACAAAAATACGGTGGCGCTTGAGGCGCTAACAGATTTATTTAACCTTTCTCACTACTTTTTATCTTTTGTCTTTTCTCTTCTTTCCCTCCTTTTCCCAAATTTGGGTCTATAATCCTTTGAGTCACAACTCTAGTTTTATTTAGTAATCCTTCGTCATTCACACATCTCCAAGTATTTGAAAATATTTCCTTTTCACTCAAAAATAAAATATGAATGAAGGTTTACAGCTTTGTGAAACTTTTTTTTTGAGTTTATGCTGTTGAAATAAATAAATAATAAAAATTAAAACATTTGTCGGTTTTGTTTACATGTTTATTGGGCCACATTGAAACTTGCCTTGGGCCGCATGCGGCCCACGGACCGCGGGTTGGACACCCCTGCCCTATAGCATACGTCACTACTTGCATTCATATTCCTTAGTGGGGCTCTTGGGAGCACTCTCTCTGGGGGCACGGATGGCAATTAGCTTTCTCTTGCTTTGTTTCAACTGTCAGTATATAGTTGCTTTCAACTTTGTATTTTAATTCTTATTTTCTGTCTTCTTTTTAGTCTAAATTCTGTTAGTCCTAGTTGTAAGTTAGATTAGGGAGTCTTATCTTGATTTCTGGTTAGGTTCGTCCTAGGTTATGGTAGGTTAGTTTAGTTAGTGAGTAAGTTAATGTTTAAAAAATAATAATAATAAAAAATAATAAATAAAATAAAGTAAAAATAAAATTTTGGGGTCTTGCATGTTTGTCTTTTGTCCAACTGTTCGTCTCATCTAGTTTGTCATCACATTCATTTGTTTTTTCATGCTGTCTGTCTAGCTGTTAAGTAGTATTAAGATTTGCACTCACGTTCAGTTATTCATTAGTATTAAGTGGATATAAGTCTTCCTACTAACAGCCACTTTGCATTAACTTCTGCACTTAGCTATTTGTGGTGGCACTGAATCGTTGATGTTCGCTACACTCAGGTTTTCTTTTAGACCCTTTGGAGGACTACAGCCTTGCAGCCTAAAAACTGCCTGCCAACATCAAACATAGAGGGTACAGTAGCCATACGTACACCATTCAGAGGGATCCTATCTTTCTCTACTATCTATCTCCTCTCCCTCCTTCTCCCTTTTCACTTTCCCTTACCCTCTTTTTTGCTGGCTAAACACCTTGTGAAGTCTTGTATATATATATATATATATGTATATGTTGTTATAATTTACAGTGTGTTGTTATATAATTTTGTTATTGGTTTTGTTATTTATTATATTATTTATTTATTTATATTTAATATTTCACATTATATATTTATTTATTTATCTGTATATATAATTACACCATTTGTCATGGCACAGCTTGGCCTATGTTGCCCTTGCGCCAATAAACTGTAACCAACCAACCTCTAATTTTACAGCTGATTTGCCTTTTGGAGGTGAAGTTCGTGGTGTCACCCTCTTATTCTTCTCTTCATCAGAAAAGTCAGAGAACTCACTCATAGACTGAGCCTCTGAATTTTTAAGTTTAGAGAGAGCTGCTTTCACTCTGTTTAGTGGGTTCTTACTAGCTTTTGTAGAACACACATTCCTGGTTGTTACCCCTGTTTTAGTTAGGGGTGTTTTGCTTTTCTTGTTCTCCTTTTCTGCTGTTTGGGTAGATTGTATCATCAAACATTTTGCATGGCGTGTTAGTGATTCATTTGGTGAAACAGAAATGTCTGTCTGAACTCCACATGTCTTTGTGGATTTCAGAACAGCAGCAAATGTCTTCTGTCTCACTTTTGCACTTAAAGTGACCATGCGACGTGCCTCCGGTTAAGGTATATTATTTATAGTCTTCACCCGCTGTATCTCTCTTTGCCATGTAGGACATTTTCGGGAGTAGGCAGGGTGAGCTTCTTTGCAGTTGACGCAGCATGGAGTAGTTGTACATTCAGTACTCTCATGATCTTTTCCACACTGGGCGCATGCACTTTTCCCACGGCAGGATGTTTGTGAGTGTCCAAACCGCTTGCATTTAAAGCAACGCAGCGGATTTGGAATGTATGGGCAAACTTGACAACAGAGATATCCTGCTGCAACAGAAGATGGAAATGTTGGCTTGTTGAACGTGATTATAAGATGTTTTGTAGGTATCAACTTGCCATCGTGCCTGATAGATGCGTCTGACGGCAGTGACACCTTGGTCTGAAAGGCCTATCTGGACATCTGATTCACTTTCAGACATCAAATCTGCTTCAGATATCACACCACGTGATGAGTTTAAACTCACGTGTGGTGTGATAATGACTTCTATATCTCCCAAGGTCTTTGTTGACAAAAGTTTTGCCGATTGTTGGGGTGAGGATGTTTGTAAAAGCAGGTCTCCTGACCTCAACTTTTGAATTTTTTTCAAATTTCCGATGGTGGACTGGAACAATTTTTGTATTAGAAAAGAGGAACGTTAGGACAGAGGTGTTTCATTGATAGCATGAGCTATAAAGTAAGTTGGCTGGTTGGATAAACTTTCATCCTTTGGTGGTATTATATCTGTATGTGAGATATCGGACCCGAGTAGTTACTTCCGTTAGTCCGACAACGGCAATTCGCTCACGAGTCAGGAGATAGCCGTTAAATGTTATTACCCCGTAATTTTGTAAGAGCGGTAAAGGAGGTGAGAGGGTCGTCAGTTTGGCTTAGGCGATATTCGAATAGACAACACCCAAAATGCAAGGAAAACGAACATTTAATAATCCATTTATACTAAATACATACAGAACTTTGGATACGCTATTCTAATTATATTATTCCACGTAATACCGAGAGAGAGTTTACATGGTCAGCGATCATACCTCTAGACGCGTTCAATTTCGTATTCATAGAGATTCTTCGTTCAACCAGGTGCGGCGATCGGCGTTCGGATCGGATTCTGTCGGCGATACAGATGACGATCTGGGTTGGGTTGATCGAGAGGTGATCGGGTGTAGTTCGTTGAGAGACTTCTCCGACCCCCGTTTCAGATGGCAACCCCCTTTTTATATTAGGGATCACATGATTACAATTACCAATCGTACTTATCGGTGATGACTGTCATCAGAACTCCGATTGAGAATCCGGATTCAACAAATTAGTTAATTAGAGCTAAAAAAACGATAGAAACAAACAATTTTATAGCAATTGTATACGGATTTCAAAGATTGTAGCCTGAGTTATCACTTAGCAGAAATTTGAGCTGTACTCTTTTTACAGGTGGCTGATTCGTTGATCTAATATCAATATAAACAGAAAGTAACCAACTACAGTATAACAGAAATTGACTATCAACTTTATCAGCCAATAATCTGCCTCCTCACCTCTAATTACTTTACACTAAGAGAGGACTGTATTTTTTCGCGAAATATTTATGGCCTGGAGGTGGTGACAAAACATTTATTGGTTAATACAGTCAAAAAACACATACAAGAAAGCAAATCAAAGCTTAGATCGATACAGACTTGATTACAGTTTGTACAAAATAACTCCTTCCCATCTTATATCTATGGAACACTCTTCTTTTGTTTATTGGATGAAACAAACCTTCGTTCACATGCCTGTTCACATGTTGAAAAAAGGGGAGACTGTGGCAATGCAGAGAGGAAAAGTATTAATCCAAAAGTGGCAGGATAAGAGAACTGTTACAATGCTTTCTACATTCCACAGTCCAAAATTAATTAGTACACAAACTCGGAGCGGAACACAAGTAATGAAACCGGAATGTGTCCTCCATTACAATCAGAAAATGGGAGGTGTTGATCTTTTAGATCAACATATCCATGATTATCATCTGGCAAGGAAAAGGGGCAAAAAGTACTACAAAAAAATATTTTTTTAACTGTTGGACCTCTCAATATATAACGCGCACGTTTTATATAAAAAAAAATGGTGGGGAAAGAAGTAATTTATCTTTTCTTATGAATTTAGTAGAGTGCCTGGTAATGACTTATCGCACTGAAACGATGATCGGCCAACATAGTTGAATGAGGACTCCAGGCTCTCTTAGGCTAGTTGAAAGGCATTTCCTGGCATTTATTCCCCCAACAGAAAAAAAAGCCAACCCAACAAGATGCTGTGCTGTCTGTTGCAACAGATGCGACGACAGCAGAAAGAAAATACGTAAAGAAACACGGTATTGGTGCCCAAAATGTGAGGTTGCACTATGTCCTGCACCGTGTTTTGAAATTTACCACACGAAATTATATTTTTAACTTTCATGTATAAGACAAAATTTCAATATTTTATATACATTTTATCTTTTTTGTAGTATATTGTCTTTTTTATCATTGTATCTTTTATATATTATTTTTAAATATCTTTTATCTCGTTAAATTATTTTTTATCTACTCTACTCACGAATGGCAGCTTCCCAGCAAACAACGAACCTATACGGAGAAGCTGCCATCGCAGGGATGGGATGCCCCTGTAAAGTTGCTGTCATAATGAAAAGACTCCATTTAGGAACCATCCAAGGCACAAACACAAAAACTGTTTAAAACTTTTTTTCTTTATTATTTAATAACAAGGTAATTTTCCAAGCGACTTTTTTTCCCGAAACAAGAAACTTAAAGGGTTAACAAGACCGAAAACGTTAGAAGTAATAAACTTCGGCTGCAAGATAAGGTGTATTAGTAAGTTTTTTGATATTATAGTATGCAGTCTCGAACGATTTGAAAATAATTATAGTTGTGTAGAATGTATACTCGGCCTGTAATCTACCCGCAGCTCTCCTACTGAGCAAAAGTGATGACAGAAAATTCTCTCTATAATCTCTAATTTCACCAGTATAAGTTCTATTAATAGACTATAGTCAAAACAGACTAGTATTTTAAATTTAACTGTTGTGCAGTCACGGGACGTCTGTCAGACACCCTGCGTCAGTTTTTTCAGCGGCATTTTTTTCAAAAAATTCAAGTTCTCTAATTTTTTTCAGCTGCAAAAAATGCAATAAATAATTTTCTTATAGCGCACCAAGTGTACTCGGGGGAAAAAAATGAAAAAAGTGCCGGCATCTCACAGAAGCCCTGCAAGC